GCCCGACATTGGGCTGCGTACGGTGGTGGAGGGGTGTCCAAGCCACGCGTGGCCGGGTGGCAGGGCGCATCCTGCGCTGGCTCCTCTCGCCGCCTTCGCCCGGCCGGGCGCAGCTTGCCGCTGACTCACGAGGCAGGGCCGGCTCCGGCCTGGCGCACGGCGGGAGTAAGCGGTTGTTTGCCAGGCGCTGTGCCCGGCTGACTTACAAAGCCTTAGTTCGCTTGTTGCCTCGCTCGTGGCCTTTTCTCCTTGCGGTATAATAGTACGTGGGATTAGCGCTAGTGTGAAGCGACTGGAGAGAAGGTAACGGCCTCTGCTGTAGTTACAGGTTGAAAACGGTGACTCCCGAGCGGTTTTGCATCGTGTACAGCAATCGTGTAGTACCTTGGAACCCTAACAGTAAAAACGGAGGCAGTCGGAGGAAGCCTAAGAGCTGCAGTTCTCACGCCCTGTCTTTAGGTGTTAGCTTACAGCTAAGAGAGGGTGCTGCGCTTGCAGGCTGAAACGCCTTGACCTAAATTTAAAAAAAAAGTTACTATTTATAGCGAACTTGCTCTTCTAAAGCCTATAAATTCCTTACATGGCGGGAAAAACGCGCAAAAACCCCCTTTTAGCAGTAGGTAGCAGGCACTGATGTTTATCATATCTGGGCCCCTAAGACTTGTGAGGCATGGACCTACTCCCAGGTTGTGTTACCTAGTTTTAACCTTCAAACAATGTATTTTCACTACATGTTTTCCTTCCTTATAAAATGTACAAATATTTTTAACGGTTTTCAGGTAATAATTTGGAAAACTCATTTTACCTGTCCTGGGATTTCAGATACACTATTTTAAAATGTCTCACTGCATAATGGTGGCACAAACCAGTGTTACTGCCTTGAATTTAAAATTAAATGTTTCCTAAGTATCACTTACTGTCAAAAATGGACTGTGCCTCATTTTACCTGTCCTGGGATTTCAGATACACTATTTTAAAATGTCTCACTGCATAATGGTGGCACAAACCAGTGTTACTGCCTTGAATTTAAAATTAAATGTTTCCTAAGTATCACTTACTGTCAAAAATAGGACTGTGCCATTCAATTTTTTTTTTTTAACTGGCACTCAGCTGGTTCAGATCCCATTTATGTTTAGATCCCATCAGTGACTCCATGTGTTTTTAATATTCCCTTTAATATAGGAATGCAAAAACCATTCTCTTTTAGCCTTTTGTTGCGTTGTCTATCTGGTAGCCCTTTTGAAAGGTTCTGTTCTTAAAAAATAAAATCCCTGAGCTATCCCTCTTACCTGTGCTAAATATCCCACCTGTATGTGCTCTCCTGCAGGCTCCTGATAGTTTAAGGTTAGCCTTTCCCAGAGTTTGGGTGCATTTTAGTTTGCCCCTT